GACCAAGTACCATCCCTGACAGATTTTGTCCCAGATCCCTTAATAATCCCCTCAAGGGTTGAACTTACAGCACTTGGTTTAACAGGCCAATACTCAAACCACTGAACTATCTCCATTCCCAGCTTGAGCTATAGGGCTCTGAGTTAAAACCAGTCTGACTTTTCTGCATTATGCATTCCCACAATAACTGCAGGCATTGGTGGTCATATCTTACAATTCCTGCATTCGCTGTTAAGACAGCTTGTGACCCCCCCACAACAGCAAAATTGGTTACAATGGGTAAAACACCAGCCTAACAATTGAATATCTAGCAGGCCTAAGTAATCTGAGTGAAGTGTATTTACATAACCACACCAGGATTCCTCTTCCATTCCAGCTGGCTGTAATGGAGGCATTGATTCAGACCCTGCTTACATTAAGTTGGTTTTGAATTATAAGCCTGTTCTCCAAAGTGCATGCAGCCCATCCCACTTGGTCTCATCCACAAATTTTATAGCATTCTCTCTAGTCCATTCCTCAAATCATTAATGAAAATCTTTGAATAGCAGTATATCCAGGACTGACCCCTCCAAGACCTCATTAGAGACTCTCCCTGTGTGACTGCAAATCATTAAATAACTACTGTAACATCTATATTGTGTAAGGGTTTGCAGATCTGGGTAAGTGACTATTATTCTGATTACTGATCACCTTTATACAAAAAAATAGAATGCCAGTGGAAAGAAGGTTTTTCTTTGGGTTGTTGTGAGAACTTAATTTGAATACTGGGAACAAATCAGGAATATGGATGTAGTAACTAAAATGAATAGGTTGTTTTTCCTTTTTTTGGAGAGATTCAATAGTTAGACAAGCATTACTACCCTTAGAATTTCCACTATAATCCTGATTTCCCTGAGCAAGACTAGATTGTCATTCTTTAGCAGGGGTCAGAATTTACACTTTTAAGGAATTCCTCTTCCACTTTGTTGCTTCTTATTGTTGCTTGCTCTGTGTTTCCCACAAGTCTGATTCTAACACAATAGAGAAGTGTAGACTTAGTGAGTGTAACTTAATGACCTTTCTGGATGCAACAAAAGTAAACAGAATAGAGGTGAAATAAGGACTTCTCACTTATTTTTTTTCTTAAGATTGTGGTGCATAATCATAAAAGATTTGCTTTACTAAAAATCTGCAGACGAGTTTCCCTACTTGTTCTTTACAGAGGACACTTTGCCCTATTGCAGTCCATCTGAGATGCTAGTTAAAATGCAAGAGCATTTTAATTTATATTAAAGAGAACAAATTAAACAGACAAGACCAACTGAGATTCAAGTACCCTAAACAAGAGAATAAAATTTGAAAATTAAATCACGACAGTAAAAAAATAAAACAAAGAACAATGCAGAGGAAATACTCCTAAGCCATCACAGCTGTAATGATATTTTAGCTCTGTGAACCTTTGACCCGTCTTTAATGGGGGAAAAGGATTTGTTTGTTATGGAATGTATTGCTGAAAACTTACACTGTAATGACACTAATGGGCATAATATTGACAGATTTTATAGGGTTTATTTGAATGAAATATGCTGGAAAGCAGGTAGGGGAGTTTTAAACACAGAAGTATTAGGCTTTCCTCAGGTATAAAGTTAACACTTACTTAGTGTGGCCTAGTGTCATTAGCCAAGGTAGAACTCAAGTTTTGACCTGAGATCATATAATTGCTTTCTCATGCTGTGTGACAAATAAGTTAACCTCAGAAAGACAAGTACAGCACATAATTGTATAAGTTTAAAATACGGGACTTTGTTTTAGGTTTTGCAGTCAAATAACTATGGAGATAACTGCATTGACATTCATGATGTACTAGGAAATTAATTGATGCAAACTACTTGGGTCAGGAGTCAGGAGCCTACTTATGATTACGCATAACCCCACTCATGAACAAAGAGAGTGGTTAGATGAGATGATACCTTTTAGTGGGCCATCTTCTTGTGTTGGAAGGCAGAAGCTTTTGAGCTACTCAGATGACCCAAAGAAGAGTTCCACCAACACAAGTTGGTGCAATAAAAGATATTATCTCTCCTACCTTGTCTCCCTCATACCCTGGTACTCACACAGTTTCAAGAACACTGCAAACAACTAATGGACAACTCCTTTGATACTTGTATTCAGTAAAGATTTTCTGTCACTTCATGTGATACTTTGTGAAGGTAACAAATCTGTAGCTCATCATTGTGCCAAGTGAACTAACTGATCCTAACAACAGGTGCATTGTTCAGCTCTAAACCCACCAAAGGTAGGTCTATCTGCCAGAGTTGTTACACTGAAAGATGATAAAAATATCTTGTTTGGTTTTTGCCTTGAATTCTGAAGTTCTGTTTTTCTGAACTTGCTTTGTTTGGTTGCTTTTGTGCATTCCTCTTGGCATCCATCCAAAGCTCTTCTGACAGAGGAATGCAGTGAAAATTTCTGACAGATTTATTCACTTTAACTTCTGCTATGTTAAATGTATTTTATTTGTTAGAATGAATCAGATGTGTTGTAAGGAAATTGGGAATCTTTCTATAGTATTAGTAACATGACTACTGAAAGAAGTGTTTTATGTACTTTGTAGTGCAGTATATCTATTAATTTGACCACCAACCAGATGACATACTCTGGGTATTAGATGTTTTGATTTATTACCATAATAAGTAGAACTGAGCAACAGTTGAAAACACATATTACGGATAGTTGATCAGCATTCTTTGACCTCATAAGTGTCTCTTTTGTGTTTATTTTATGTAAAGAGCAATTACATACAATTTTCATTTGCAAAAATGTTACTGGAAAACCAGACTGCAGATTCACTTCAAAAGGTATCAGTGTTTCTTTTTCTTTGAACTTGTCCAGTCTAAGAACAAAATTAATATCTCTGATTTGCCTGACTAAGCACAGTTAACAAATAGTCTGAATTTCAAATATTCAAAAACTAAAAGATTTACCAAGCAGTGCTCATGTCTTTAACTCAATTAAGGTTTTTTTTTTAAATAAAAGGAAAATGTACATGCTTTATTTAAACGATTGTGGTTTTAAAAAAATACATTGTTATTTCTCAACTGATTTTGAATAAATTTGAAACAGAGTCAGTTTTCTTCTTTTTTAAGAGGCTTCTAATATTGTGAGGCCATAAGATAGTGCTTAGTTTATCCTTAGTGCTATTTGGAAATAAGGATGAAATCAATTCTGATAAAATTAGTAATGGCTCAAATATTGATGATGAGAACAGGGCAGTCTTACAGAGTGAGCGGGATCATTTACTAAAAGGGCTCATTCAAACAAAATTCCATGTAATATAGCATATGCAAATTTATAAACTTAAAAACATGGAATGCAGATCAAACATTCAGAACAGTATATGCAAACAAATGTCTATCCACTGCATGTAGCAGTGCTTGGGATTCTTCTGTTGTACTTGTTGAACTCTGCACTTGTCCTTACTTGTCCTTGTTGAACCTCATCAGATTTCTTTCAGCCCAATCCTACAATTTGTCTTGGTGACTCTAGAATATATTCAGATTCTCCAACATATGACCATGTGGAGAAGCAAGCATCATCATTTCACTGCTGAATTGGTTTCCTGTGTAGAAGTGGGATGAATCTCAACTATAAAACTATGTAAGAGCATGGTACTTTTGCTATTTTTACAGTTTGAATCCCCAGATATCCCACTATATGTCCTTCCTCAACTGGTAAGCTAGATAAGTATCTGAGGCTGTGTTCCCTCTAAACTGAGCATTCAGACAGCTATCCAGGAGATTGAAATGCTGCCCAGATGATCAGCAGAATGCTCACAGCTAGCATCACCAGACAGCATATATTTCTCCCAGTGGTGCACATCAGCACAGGATTTGGGCTATGTCTACACTACAAAGATAAACCAGAAAAAGAAACGCAATTTGCAGTACTCAAATTGTGTATCTTTTTCTGATTTACTTCCAAAAGAGGCTTTTCCAAAATCATCATCTACATAGGGCCAAATTTCGGGGGGAAAAAAGCCTCTTTCAGAACATCCTTTCTTCCTCGTAAAATGAGGTTTGTGGGGATGCAGAAGAAATGTGTCTGCTTTTCTGACTTTTTTTTTGAAAAGTGGGTGCATTCATTGGACACAGCAGAGCTTTTCCGGGACACCTCTGGTATCCCGAAAAAGCTCTGCAGTCTAAATATAGCCTTGGTACACATAACAAAATTTATTCCACACATGGATGGGAAAAAATTGGAGGATGCATTGGTCAGAGGGTTCATTATTCCAAGGCAGCAAGTCATTCTGCTTTTACTTCAGTCATCCCTATCCTATTGGATGCTGGGTGTTTTAGATATTTTTTCTTATTCCACAGTTAGCTTTCCTCTTTTCCATGTTGTGCTACACTTCTCCAGCATCACCAGTAGCTGCCGTCAAATAGTAAAGCTGCAGACAGTAAACCTGTTCCTTTCTTTTACACTCTGACACAGCTCTGCCTTTGGTTCTTTCTGTCCTGGAAACAGCCTAAGGATGCTACCGTCCCAATGATTTCAGCAGCTCCCCTGTGATCAGTGCTCCCAGGGTTAGACATCTTCCACACAACACTGGTCTGATTACTAAGCTAGCAAAACATTACTCTTCCATAACCGCCTTTCCCCAAAAAATCTCCTCCGTTTATTCCCTTGGCTTTAACTAAGCCAGCTAAGTATCCATAATGTTCATCCCCTCTTGCTACAACATGTGGATTTATTGGCAGGGAGAGTAAAGGAAATCCCTTTATTCACTCTTCCCAGATCGAGATGTTTGTGACGGAACACCGGGGCTCCGCACTGAAGCTCCCCCAGTCTCCCAGCAGCTGGGGAGAGCACCGCAACTGTATGCGCAGTGGCGCCAGAGGATTGCGTCATCCGGTGCGCCCTGCGGAATGCAAGGGGGCGGGGCAGGAGCATTTGGGGGCGGGGCGGCGCGGCGCGGCGCGGGGGGGGCATTGTGCTGCCAACTTTAAAAGCCGGACAGTTGGCCGATGCGGGGGGGGAGGTTCAGGGCAGCCAGAGGCGGAGAACTGAGGGGCGTGAACGGAAAGGCGCAGGGAGAGAGGGCCGCGCGCCAAGAGGACCGGCGCATGGTAGGAAGTGGTCCAGGGCGGGGCAGGGCATGGGAGCCAGTGGGTGGGCGTGTTACAGGAGGTCGCCCCGCCGACCATAAGGGAGAGCGCACTGCTGTTCTCCTCTCTTTAGGTCCCTGGTCCAGGGCCCGGACCCCCTACCCTCCAGCCCCGGGGAACTGTGCTCAGGGAGAGCGCTAACGGCCTTGTCCGGTTTGAAAATCGAGAACTCTTGAGGGGGTGCGGGGTGGTGCAGCAGACGGTGGACTCCGCACTGCCTCTTATTGAGAGCGGGAATGCGGGGGACGCCTGGGGTACACGTCTTTACAATGTTCAACAAAAGCAAATACATTTACATGTAATAATTCATTATCCAAAAACTATAAAAACTGTAACACGTTACTGACCACCACTTCGGAACTCTCGTGTGACCTTCTTACCCGTCCTGCCCCTGAAAATGTCACAAACAAGTCACTGCCAGGACATGTTTTCCCACCTCCTTGTAGTTTATAAACCATTCTTCCACCATTTTTAGCACAAGTAATGCCAGTAGTCTAAGTATGAGCATAGACTTGGCACAAACATTTTTTCCATTATGGCACCTGACTTCAACCATCCTTTATGCCATCACAAAATAAAGACACTGGGATACCATAGTGATGGGCACTTGAAAAAATAAATAGAAACTGCCCAAGTTATGCATAATATGTCCTCACGTTGCTATGTTTTTGCGAGTGTTTTTAAAATTAGCATTACACATTTTATTAAACATTTTATATTAAATAGAAATGCACACGTCAGCTTAGCAGCAAGAGGCTTTCCATGTCCATATCCAAAATGTTGATTTGTTTATGATATAGGGGAGAACTTTATTCAACGCAATTTGGTGCACCTAGTCGGGCTAAAAATGCTGTAGCTGCTAAAGTTTCTTACTAACCAGGAGTTCCAGTCCCCACAGAGAATAAATAATTTTCCAATCAAAAAATGAAGAGAAGAGAAAATAATTCAGGCCAAAAGTTCCGTATTATCTTCTCAAATAAAAACAAATTATTGCCGTAAGAAACACTTCTGTATCTGTTTTTTCTCCTATTGTGTTTTTTAGTCATGTAACTCATGCAGTCCTTAAGCTTCTTTTTTCTTTTGAGGGGAAAAAATGGTGCATGTAGCTTATTGGTAAAAAGGTCTATGTAATTTACAATGAAGAGTTTAACTTATCTATACACTGTCATATACTTTATTTCCAATGTATAGTTGATCAAAACAAGCAAACCAATATCAAACTACACTACAATATCAAAACTACAGTATCATTTTCCTGCCAAGTACTGCAACATGGTAACTCACTGAAATTATTGGAATTTTAATAAGGTGTGAATGGAGGTTAGAATTTTCAGTGGGTCCTCAAGATCAGGTCCTATATTACAGCTAAACATAGAGGCTACGTCTAGACTGGCATGATTTTCCGGAAATGCTTTTAATGGAAAAGTTTTCCGTTAAAAGCATTTTCGGAAAAGAGCATCTAGATTGGCACGGACGCTTTTCCACAAAAGCCCTTTTTGCGGAAAAGTGTCCGTAGCCAATCTAGACGCACTTTTGCATATAAAAGCCCCGATTGCCATTTTCGCGATCAGGGCTTTTTTGCGCAAAACAAATCTCAGCTGTCTCCACTGGCCCTTTTGTGCAAAAGCTTTGCGCAAAAGGGACTTTTGCCCAAACGGGAGCAGCATAGTATTTCCGCAAAAAGCACTGATTTCTTACAGTAGGAAGTCAGTGCTTTTGCAGAAATTCAAGCGGCCAGTGTAGACAGCTGGCAAGTGTTTCCGGAAAAGTGGCAGATTTTCCGGAAAAACTGGCCAGTCTAGACACAGCCAGAAAATAGAAGATAAAAATAAGATTATTCCAAAAATTTAAGTGCATAAAATGCACAGTAATCTACAGTGAGTTGCCCATACAAGAATACAGGCAGTCCCCGGGTTACATGGATCCGACTTACATCGGATCCCTACTTACAAACGGGGTGAGGCAACCCTGCACTAGCTGCTTCCCCCCAGCAGACCAGGGAGACGCGAAGCTAGCGCTCCCCCTCCCCCCCAGCAGACCAGGGAGACGCAGAGAGGCTTTTCTCAGCAGACACCTCAGCTTGAGAATAAAGGACTGAGGGAAGTGAGGTGTGGGAGAATAAAACTGAGCTCTGGAGAAATGTTTGGCTAGAGTTTCCCCTACAATATGTACCAGTTCCGACTTACATACAAATTCAACTTAAGAACAAACCTACAGTCCCTATCTTGTACGTAACCCGGGGACTGCCTGTATATCCTAACCTCAGTGGATACGAAACTCTCAGTAGTGTCTACAGGTATTATGTGCCAGATCCAAACTACACTGAAAGTAACTTGAGTCTTGTCAAAGGGCTTTGGTTCAGGACTAATTTGAGGTTACAAGCAACAATACAATGTTTCAAATGGAAGCTTACAGAGGGAAATCACAGAATCATAGCATTGGAAGTGACCTCAGGTCATTGAATACTGTTAAAAACAGGACCAATGCCAACTAAATCATCCCAGCCAGGGCTTTGTTAAGCCAGGACTTAAAAGCCTCTAGGGATGGAGATTTCACCACTGCCCTAGGTAGCCCATTCCAGTGCTTCACCACCTTCCTAAGAAAATAGTTTTCCTAATATCCAACCTTGACCTCCCCCACTGCAACTTGAGACCATTGCTCCTCATTTTGTTATCTGTCATCACTGGAAATACTTTCTCTCCATCCTCTTTGGAACCCCCTTCAGATAGTTGAAGGCTGCTATCAACCACCCCCCCACACACAAATACACACACAATTTGCTGTACACAAAGGCTACGTCTACACTACAAGTTTTCTCTGAAAAATATGCTGAGGGACTCATTTGCATGAGTCACAATCTAATTTGCATATTCTCTGCCAATCGGTTTTTGTGCTGAGATTTTTGCACAAAAACAAGCAATATGGACATTTTCTTTTGGCGCAAAACCCCCTTTTTCCACAAGATCCCTATGTCTCAAAAAAGGAGGTATACCAATCCTGCAGGAAAAGGGGGTTTTTTGCAAAAAAAAAAGTCCACACTGCTTGTTTTTGTGCAAAAACCCCAGTGCAAAAATGGATTGGCAGAAAATATGCAAATGAGATCGCAACTCATGCAAATGAGTCCCTCATTAGAATATTTTTTGCCAAGAAATCTCGTAGTGTAGATGTAGCCTAAAGAAGCACAGATGTCTCAGCCTCTCCTCGTAAGTCATGTGCTTCAGTCCCCTAACCATTTTTGTTGTCCACCACTCAATTTTGTCCAATGTGTCCACATTCTTTGTGTAATAGAGGAGTCCAGAATTGGACACAGTACTTCAGATGTGGCCTCACCAGTGCTGAATGAAGGGGAATAATAATTTCCCGAGATCTGCTGGCAATGCTCCCACTAAGGAACCCCAGTATACTGTTAGCCTTCTTGGTTACAAGGGCACACGGTTAACTCATATCCAGCTTCTAATCCACTGTAATCCCCATGTGCTTTTCTGCTGAACTGTTGCTTAGCCAATCAGTCTCCAGCCTGTAGCAGTGCTTGAAATTCTTCCATCCCAAGTGCAGGACTCTGCCCTTATTCTGTTGAACCTTATCAGATTTATTTTGGCCCAGTCCTCCAATTTGTTCAGGTAACTTTGGACCCTATCGCTTCCCTCGGTGTATCTACCTCTCCCCCTAGCTCAGTGTCATCTGTAAACTTGCTGAGGGTGCAATCTATCCCCTCATCCAGGTCATTAATAAAGGTGTTCAATAAAACTGGCTCCATAATGGTTCAAGATATATATACAGTCTAAGTATATCATGTCCACTGCTTTCCCAATATCCACAGAGCCATTTACTTCATCATAGAAGGCAATAAAGTTGGTCAGGCATGACTTGCCCTTCGTGAATCCACGTTGACTACTCCTGTTCACTTTCTTGTATTCCAAGTACTTCAAAATGGATTCCTTCAGGACTCCTTCCATGATTTTACTAGGGACTGAGGTGAGACTAACTGGTCTATAGTTCCCTCAATTCTCCTTTTTCACTTTTTAAAAGATGGATACTACATTTGCCTTTTTCCAATTGTCTGGGACCTTCCTCCATCGCCATGAGTTTTCAAAGATAATGACCAATGCTTCTGTAATCACATCAGCCAACTTCCTCAGCACCCTTGGATGCATTATTTCTGGTCCAATAGATTTATGTATGTTTAGCTTTTCTAAATAGCTTCTGTAATCACATCAGCCAACTTCCTCAGCACCCTTGGATGCATTATTTCTGGTCCAATAGATTTATGTATGTTTAGCTTTTCTAAATAGATCTTAACCCAGTGGTGGACAATAAAAAGAGTCCACCAGCCAGGTTAGTTCCTGGTGGGCTGCCTCTGCTACTGTGTTTACCTGCACCTCCACAGGTATCGGAGGACTGCAGCTCTGGTTATCTGTGAATCATTGTGGCCAATGTGAGCAGCAGGAAGTGTTGCAGACTGGGACGCCGCTTCCCACTACTCGCATTGACTGTGAGTGGCGATTCGTGGCCAACCAGAGCTGTGATCCTCTGATACCTGTGAAGGCGCGCGTAAACATTTATGTGGGGGTCTGCCAGGGACTAACCCTGCAGACTGGATCTGGCCTGCAGACTAGAATTTACCCACTCCTGTCTTAACCTGTTCTTTCTCCACTGAGGGCTGCATACTTCCTTCTCATACTGTGCTGCCTAGTGCAATAGTCTGGGCGCTGACCTTGTCTGTGAAGACAAATGCAAAGAAAGCATTGAGTACTTCAGCTTTCCCCACATCATCTGTCACTATGTTACTTCCCTCACTGAGGTTCCCACACCTTCCCTGACCACCCTCTTATTGCTAACGCCTCTGGAAACCTTTCTTGTTATTTTTCACATTCTTTGTTTGCTGTAATTCCAGTTGTGCTTTGGCCTTTCCGATTGGCCTACCCCTGCATTCTCAAGCAATATAGTTATACTGGTCCTAG